CTCTGCCCTTCACCACCTGTGAGACCTAGAGCAAGGCACAGCCCCTCACTTTTATCCTCAGTAGTCTGGGGAGACAGGACTGGATAATCCCCACAGCTCCTTCCTGCTCCTACACTCAAGCCATCCCTGAGTGGTGCATGGTCAGGCCTGACCTCCAGGCACCCCTCCCACACCTTCCTAAGACCCCGGCCCTCCGATCCCACTGGGGAGGGTCTCCAGAAGTTCTCCTACCCTGAACCTGTCTGTAGCAGCCATGAGCAGTCGATCAACAAAGATATTCTCTTTCTGAATTTTAAAATGTCCATTTGTCTAAGTTCGTGATAAAGAGATTGATTGGCTGTTTTTAATACCCCTCTTTAAATAGAGCTCATCTCACACTGCTTATGATGGTATTTTATTACCATAATAATAATTGCAACGACCGTTTATTGAGTATTGCTCAACATTGCCGTATGCCTGGCTCAGCGAGAAGCTTTTTTTTATTTCCCCACACCTTGTCTTGCGTAATTCTTTCTCACAACCCTGGAGGGAGGTAGCTGTTAACAGCTCCATTTTTACATTTTTTCCTTTCCACGGGGAAACTGAGGCCAAAAGAGTGAATTCAACAGCATATGTTTGAGGTCTCCGATCAATAAGCGGAAAAGCTCAGGCTCAAATGTAGGGGGTCTGACTCAGAGTCCATGCTCTGGGCCACCGAGTTTTACTGCCTGCAGCATACTTGGAAGCCCAGATACACCTGGCCTCAGAGAGGAAATCTGCTTGCGTTGAAAGTGTAGACCTTTAAAGGGGCACATCTGGACATTTGCATGAAACAGCAGCTGGGTGCTTGGAGAAGCCTCCGGTATAGGTGCTGATGAGCACCCCACATCCCCCCCGCCCCATATCCCTGATAGACCATGGCGCCCAGGACCTGAAATGCAGGAAGTCAGCATTCTTTTCTCTCCAATGGCTTGTCCCTTCTAAGTATATGAATGGCTCTCTGCCAGGCCCATTTAAAAACCTTTTCTAAGTTATGCAGAAATTAAATGGGTTTTCACTGCAGGGCATGAAACATAATCTAAGAAGGTCAGACACAGGACCATTCCTTCTTTTTTCCCCCTCTTCCCCTGTCTTCTTGGATCTTGCTTTTAAATCCTCTGATCAGTTGCCCAGAGAGCCTTTCCTGGGGACCGTAAGGTATGCACGGGTGAAATGTCCCCGTCCCCCCGCGGCAGGGGGCTGGAGCGCTGACATTCTCCAGGGAGCCATCCCTCTCTGCTGGGCACGGGCGCCTTGTGGGGTGTGCTCTGAAGTGCTGTCTAGCTGCCTCACAGGAGGCTGGCTGCTCTGAAATGGGGACATGTCCATCCCTCGTGGCAGAAACCACAGGCCCTGATGGAGTGTTTTGTTCTGGAGCGTGGGGCTGACTCTGGTGCTTGCGTGTGTTGTGTTTGTGGGATCCAGAGAGAGTAGGGGGAAAATCGGGAGAGCTCTGATTTAGCTGAGAGACTTGTAAAGATCTCCTCAAGACCAGTACCGTTGTGGTGGCATGTTGGGGCGAGGGGCTGGCTCCCCCCAGCCCAGCACCAGATGAGGTCAGATTTCTGGGCTCTGCATGGGGTGGCCCAGGGTGTGTATTTGCAGAGGGCCTGTGTCCATCAAGTCCCACAGGAAACAGTTCATCTCAGCTCCAGCAAAGGCATTTCAGCAAAGAGACCGTTACAGAGGGTGGGCAGGGCTAGGGGGCATTAAGGGAGGTTGAGGCACCTGGGACCAGCAGGGCTGAAGGGGGAAGGGGCTGGGATGTCCACCTGAGCCCACTGAAGACTGCGGCCAGGAAAGAGGAGCTGCTGTAAAATCAAAAAGTGATATCCCTGCCTCTATACCTTTCTCCTTTTGCCTCTTTCCCAAACTCTGAGCTCCTACTAGCACCTTCCCCACGGCAGAAGCCAGCCTGCAAGGAAGCCTGGGGATGAATGCAGTCCATTGAAGTCTCCTTAGGGTGGGAAAGGGGAGACAGAGCAGGGTATTTGGTGCATCTGGGGAGGGTGTAGACAGGGAATGCCCAGCACAGGATTATCGTTGATATTCATAGTGCTTCTGGACACCTGCCTGCCCTCCCCCAAAAGGCATTCTTGTCCGCAGTCCTCCAGAAGGCACAAGGCAACAACATCACAACTATCCATTTCTAAGCACTTACTATATGCTGGGAAATTTGCACTCAGGAGCTCATGTTCTCTTCACACTAACCCTGTAGGATATTATTAACTTCAGTGGACAGAAAGGGGATTAAGGATCAGAGAGATGAAATAACCCAAAGACACACAGCAAGGCTGGGGTTCTGACACTCTGTCGATCCCTGAAATCCTAGCACTTGACCGCTCTGCCCCCTTACACACTTGATTCTCTTTTGGAGGGAAAGAGAGCATCTGTTTTCCAAGCCACCGAGCCGAGGAGGGAAGGTCTGGCAAAGGAAAAGGAGGTTCAGAAGCCTCGAGGTGTGAGGCAGCCTGCTGGGTTTGAGAAGTACAAATAGCTCTCCTATCAGAAAATATTAAACCGATAAGAATAGATGGTACACATGATCTTAGCCAAAAGGCCAAGAAGGGATGCCTGCCAGGAAATAAAGTGGGAAGGAGGAGACAGAGACAGACCATGAGGGCCTGTGTTGTATGCAAGGGGCACTGGGGAGTCATGGGTGGTGTGGAGGAGAGGGGCCTCCCCATCTGCCTCCTGTCTTCTGTGCTGGTGGGAGAAGGACAGGTTAGGAGCCTGTCCATTCAGCCTGACATTTGCCTAGTGACGGGGGAGACTCAGCACACTCAGAAAGAAACAGTGGCGGGCACCTGGGTGGCTGAGTCGGTTGAGTGTGTGACTCGGTTTCAGCTCAGGTCATGATCTCAGGGTCCTGGGATCGAGCCCCATGTCAGGCTTTGCGATGAGTGGGGAGTCTGCTTGAGGATTCTCTCTCTCCCTCTCCCTCTGCCCCTCCCCCAGCTCATGCTCACTCTTTCTCTCAAATAAATAAATCTTTGAAAAAGAAGAAAGAAAGAAAGAAAGAAAGAAAGAAAGAAAGAAGAAAGAAAGGAAAGAAAGAAGAAAGAAAGAAAGAAAGAAAGAAAGAAAGAAAGAAAGAAAAGAAAGAAAGAAAGAAAGAAAGAAAGAAAGAAAGAAAGAAAGAAAGAAAGAAAGAAAGAAAGAAAAACAGTGGCAGCTCCATAGCATTGTTCTCCAGAGGCCCTTTCCAGCCTGACTGGGGATCTTATAAAGAACCCCCTTGCCTCAAGCAGGTGGTCCCAGGAAAAGGCTACCAGCATACCCCAGTGAAAGAAGTCACCCAAAGCAGTGACACAGGGCCCATGTCACAGCCACCAGCACAGAGAGGAGGCAGCAGTGTGGGTGCCTCCTTGAAAGAAGCCCTCCAGGTGTCAGAAGGCACCAGTCATTGTCCCCATGTGAAAAAATACAGGAGCGGGAATACTGTGTCTGCCCTCAGGCTAGTCCTACACTGCGGGCTAGGAGGTACCACCTCTGCTGGCATGGAGCTCAGCATCCTACAGAAGAGGTAGGGAAAGAACTACCATCAGTGTTTCAGAGAAGTGTTTCGTACAGAGCATGAGATCACTGGCTTAGAATTAGCCAGGCCTGAATTCCAGGCCCTCTTTGACCACGGCCTAGCTGTGTGACTTGGGCTAGTTACTTACCCTCTCTGAGCCTTAGCTTCCTTTTCAAAGGGCAGTCAGTCAAGGGGAACAGGGATTGTTTTTACCCTTTTGTCTCTGTGAAGAGCCTCATTAGATTGCCTGTCTTCACATGTGCCCAGAGCCCACTAAATTATGAATAAATTCCCTCACCCTATTTCCCAGGCATGGCTCGTGTGCCGGGCACGGTGATGGTCGCTGGGGTGATGGCAGCTGACAGTTGGGCAGAGATGCAAACAGAGCCTGAGGAGGTGCCGACTGCTATAAGAGCCACTTGTTCATGTCTTCAGAAAGGCTATGGATGGGACGCCTGGGTGGCTCAGTGAGCCCCTCCCTTCAGCCCAGGGCCTGATCCTGGAGACCCCAGATAGGGTCCCATGTCAGGCTCCCTGCATGGAGCCTGCTTCTCCCTCTGCCTGTGTCTCTGCCTCTCTCTGTGTGTCTCTTATAAATAAAGAAATATAATCTTTAAAAAAAAATGATATTGGACACCCACTGTGTGCCAGGCACCGTGCTAGGCAAAGCAGCTAGAGCTCTGTGGCTTGCATGGGGCACATGTGCTGTGTGGGAAGACAGGCACTGACCAAGGAATTAGAGAAGAAAGGCGAATGATGAAAAATCTCCAGGTGAGGTGGGAACCTTAATATAAGCAGTGGTGGAGGGTGGGGGCATGGGAGGGGGGCTGGCCTGCTTTAGGGGTCTGGAAGCTTCCATGAAGAAGTTACGTTTAACTAAAGACCCCAAGTCAGAAAAGGACAGGAGTCTATCTGCAGTGTGTAGCAGAGGGAATCCTGATGGGCTCCCAGGCAGTGGTAACATCGAGGGAGTCCTGTGGGCCACCTGTGGCAGGCTGCCATGGCCCAGGGATGGCATGTGCATGCCCTACCCCGGGGCAATCCAAGTCAGCTCCGTGGTACCAGGCAAAGCCCTCAGGGCCCCCTGCCACCTGACCGTGGCACACCCCTGAAGCCTCCCAACACGCAGAGTCTCAGGTGCCCCCCAGAGCAGCCTGGGCCTGAGAGGCGACACAGCCGAGAAACAGGGGTTTGGAGACCAAAAGGCCCCCATCCAGAACGCCAGGGTGAGCAGATCATCTTCAGAACTGGTGCTGTTATAGCCACCAGGAGGCCATCAAAAAAAGGGGAAAAAAATAGATACTGCATTTTAAATTCCTCTGAACCCTCCTAGAATAAAAATGACAAAGCCGCGGGTCTGGTTGGCTGGAGGGACGCGGTTAATGGGCTTTGGGGGAATAGTCACCGACGAAGGCAGCTGCTCCGAGCACCACTCACCCTTTGGTTTGCTTTGCTTTGCCCCCAGAACACGCCGGTGGGGACACCCATCTTTATCGTGAACGCCACGGACCCCGACTTGGGTGCAGGGGGCAGCGTCCTGTACTCCTTCCAGCCCCCGTCCCCGTTCTTCGCCATCGACAGCGCCCGCGGCATCGTCACGGTGGTCCGCGAGCTGGACTACGAGACCACGCAGGCCTACCAGCTCACCGTCAACGCCACGGTGAGTCCCGCCCCGCAGGTCTGTCTCCTCCCACCCTGGGAGAGAGCAACGGTGGCACTAGCGTCCTCCCTGCGGGTCGAGGCCCTGCAACAGTGACGCTGGCCATAGTCACAGTAAGAGCAAGAGCAGTGCCGGGCCCAGCGCTCAAATGGGTTGCCTCCATTAAACCCCATGGCAGCCCTCTCCCATACGTGATATGAATGTACCCATTTCACAGATGAGGCCACTGAGGCCCAGGAGCAATGCAGGTAATTGCCCCCACTGGTAACCCCACAGGGCATTCACAATGTGGGGTGTCCCTCGCTCTCTGCAGCCTCAAACAGAGGTGGCAACCCAGCAATGTCCTGATAGCACCCTACACGCAGGAGCCAGCGCATCCAGACATCCTGGCCACTGCTCCCGAGTGGTGACGCTTACATAGGAGGGCCCACCCATGTGCACACCAGGCACTATGCTGGGTCCTGGGAATTCCAGGATTAGCAGGAGAGGGGAAAGAGAGAGAGGAAGAACTGTCCCATTTTATGGCTGACACTGTTGAGACTCACAAGCTGATGAGTAGTAGGGAGCAAGAACCCAAACCCAGTTTGGCTGACACCAGTCCAGGGCCCCATGGCAGGAGTTTCTGAGTTTCCAGATCATCACAGCCCCTTGGCCTCTGCCACCCTGCAGAAGGCCTAGGGGACCAGCAGGCCACACTCTAAGTAGGCTCTGAGCCCTGCACTCCTCTCTGACTTACTCCTCCCTCTCTCCAGGCACAGCTGAAGTCTTCAGCAGGCAACAGGTCAGGGCGTGGCCTATTGTCCCTTGGATTTCTGTTAACAAAGCTCAGGCCAAGAGTGAAACAAGTTATAGGAGTCCTTCTAGACTCTTCAGGACCCATTTGCCTGACACCCAGCTCCATCCCCTGGCCCCAGGTCACTGCAACAGGGACTGCCAGCGGCACTGGGGACTCCACTTGGCAGATCACAGAGCCCAGATCCTGGAGTAAGACACATGGACTAGGTCGAGGGTCTAGTTTGAAAGATGGGGCTCCCCCAGGCTTGGGCAAGGTGTAGAGGGGGCCTCAGGAACCAGGAAATGCATGCTTTTTCCGGGGAGGCCACTGTGGGTCCCATTCACATTCTTTCCTTCTCCCCTGGTTAAGTGTTTGTTGCCTGGGAGGTTGTCTGTCCTGCTGTTTGTAAACCTGACTTCTGGGATCAAGGGGGCATGTAAGACTAGAATCTGCTCTCTACACACACCTGCACCTGTACCCTGCCTTGCACCCACACACAGCCGTGGTGCCGCTCCAGCCGCTCTCCATTTGCACACGCTGGGTCCCATTTGCACATACTGGGTCCCAGGAATGCTGGGTCCCAGGAATGCGCCAATCCCAGCAATGGGTCCCAGGTCTCTTGCTCTCTTTCTTGCTGTGACCCTCTCCCTGTGGAGTAATTTCCATATTCCATGAAAATGTCTTTGGGCAGGCAGGGGAGGGACCAGAATTGGGCACAGGAAAGAACTTGGGTGGCCAGACCAGTTAAGAGGCCTGGGCTAGAGCTGAGATGGTGAATACAGTTAAATTGCTGTTAATCTTGCAGCCATCAGATCTTCAAGCAAAGGAACAGGAGGGCCCCTTCCTGGTCCTTGATGGCTCTCCCACCTGAAGCACAGTCCCCCTCAGGACTGGTGCTATGCCCTTGGCTGCTGGGCGTTTCCCCAAAGAGATTCTCCTATGTGGCCTTGCAGGGAGCAGTGTGGGTTCCCAGCCACCACTGGGTGGGCACAAAGGGGGGAAACGGGAGGACTTCCCTGGGAACGGCCCCAAGTGACAGCTGGGATCCTGGCGAGGTGCCTGCCCTGTCAGGTATGCCCACTGATCCCCCCACCCCAAGCCATGAGAGTGAAGGAATCCATGGCAGGAGCAGGGCTGTGGCCCCGAGACTGCAGAATGGGGAGGGCAGGTGCCAGGCTGGACAGAGCCACCTACGCGCAAAACCTGGTAATGGCAAATTAGAGCTACTGGCCTCCCCTGCTCAAAAGATCAAGGGACTTTGTTCCTCCCACCCTGGCCCTGTCTGCCTGATTGCTTGGGTCCCTGGCGGAGAGCTCTCACCATGGGCAGTCCCCAAGCCCGAGCTGTGGGTTCCATTGTCTTGGAGCCCAAGAAGGGTGTCTCCCCAGTGGACCCTCTGCCCAGCTACTCCTGAGTCCAGACTCTCCGCCCTGCTGCACCCACTCCTCATCCCTGAAGTCCCTCTCCGTGGCTACCCCTGAGGACTCTTAGGACAACCAGCCCTCCCTCCCCAAAGGCTCTGCTGCACCTCTCTATCTGGAGGGCAGGAGCAGGCCCTAGGCTTGTTGCAATGGGGCGGGGCGGGGGGATGCTTTGCATTGCTCCAGGCACCGCAGACCAAAGGAGACCTAATCAGGGGACAGACCAGAGATTGTACAGGCTCAAGGGTCCATGGAAGTCATTGCATTGAGCCCCTTTATCTCACAGAGAAGCAAACAGACCCCAAGAAGGAAGAGAACTTACTCGAAGCGACCCAGCAAGTCAGGGGCTGAGCTGGTGTTAGGGCTCCAAGTCAAATCAGTTAGGGCAGGTTTTTATTGCAGAAGAATCGGAGTTTGAGTCGTGGCTACATACTTAGCCAGCTGTGTGACCCTGGACAGGTTACTTAACCTCCGTGTGTCTCAGTTAACGTATCTGAACAATGGCCACATGGTATCTACGTAAGCAAACAAGGTTCCAGCGCCCTGCCTGTCACCTAATCTGTGCTCAGCCTCAGCAGGGAGTCCTTTCCTGTGGGTCATGGTCATTCAACGGCAAAGGGCTATTTCAACAGTTTATCACTGTAGGCTGTGTATTTTAGGGTAATGGGGATGTGTTTCTGGTTTCATTTCTTGGTGAGCTTTCATAAGTCTGAATTTCCAACTGAGTAGGAAGGTTTAAACGTTGCCTGCCTGGCCACAGCGGTGGGGGGGTGGGTGGCGGGCATGACCCCTGGGGATTGCTTCCTGGAGTCCCCCAAATGTCACAGGCCCTGGAGCTCCCCCTGCTGGTTCTATCGGAAAAGTTACTTGACCAGTAAACCCAGGTGCAGAGCAGGGATGCAGGTGTCAGAGCGGTCCCGCCCATCCTGGTCCTTCCCTTGCTGCCCTGGGATGACAGGGGGCAGGAAGTGAGCGTGGTGAGGGCCGGTGGCCTTCTGCCTGAATCAAGAGATGCTGCTAAGGACAGGCACTGTCTCTTTATCCCAAGCCAGTCATCCCACCCTTGAGTAGTAGTGGGGAGCAAGAAGATGTCTGGGACCATCAGGCCTAGGCAGAGCTGGGGGCAGGAGAGCTGACTCTACCCTAGCCCTACTTTCTGACATTGGATAAACCACCTTCTGCGGGGTCTTGGGGGCCCCTGTTTGTGTTTCCTATCACTTTGGGTTCTTAGGGTTCTTGAACATCCGTGTATTAATGCTCCTCCTGCAGGAGTGTGGGAACAAATGCATACGTGGGCACACATGTTTGTGCACATGGGTGTTGTGTGTGGAGATGTGTGTGTGTGTGTGCATGTCAACAATGTCACAACCTAAGGTTGTGTATTCTTTGTCCTCTAAGGATCAAGACAAGACCAGGCCTCTGTCCACCCTGGCCAACTTGGCCATCATCATCACAGATGTCCAGGACATGGACCCCATCTTCATCAACCTGCCTTACAGCACTAACATCTATGAGCATTCTCCTCCGGTAAGCCACTCCCTGGCCCTTGTGAGACTTCCCTCTGAGCTTCTGTTAGGGATGGGGCCCTGTTCGGTTGGACAGGCTCTTGGCATTTCCTACTCCCCTCAATCCCTATGCATGTCAGTGATGGAGATCTTAGCACAAGTGAAAGCCTGACCCCCTCTTCGTACCATACCACCACACCCCATGTCCTCACCCTCTCACTTCATCTCCAGAGGGCTCCAAGAGGCAAAGAAAACCCCAAAGGCTTACTAGTGTAGACAAAGGGGAACAGTTCAGGAAGATTTACATGGGATGATAGGGATGCCTGTGGAACCAGCCTGGTCTAGAGAGATTTGGACTCAGCCACATTCCCCATGGGTCAGTGTGCCTCTCTCAGCCAACCAGTCCTGCCCAAGATGGCAGCAGTGTGCCCTCCACTCCCCAGTCCTCTCAGCCTTGGCTTTTCTCTGGGAGCACACAGGTCCAGTTGTCCCTCCAACTGCTCGATCTTTGGATTTTTCAAGCCCAACTTTTCAAAAGAGGCATCTGATTGATTGTGCCATGTCACAAGGTCACAGATCTCCAGCCAGCCTATAAGTTGGCTGCCCTTAGGCCCTATGTCTGCCTCTGGCCCAGTCACTTGTGACTGGGGGGTCTTCGAGAACCAAACATGCTACTGCCCACTTGGCAGGGGCTGGGGGTGGGCAACTCTGCTCACCCATCCCTTGCCTGGTAGCCAACCATGCTTTTGTGCAAACTAGAATAAAGCACACACAGTGGGCTGACAAATTAAGGAAAACTGGCTCCTCTGGGTAGCTGCAACCCCTGGACATCTAGGAGGGGAGCTGCTCTTGTGGAAGGAAAAACATGCCCTTCCTTTTGAGGGAACTCAGTGTGCTTAGAGGAAGGACACACAAATTGGAGAACAAAGTAGGACACCTGCCTGAACACGTGCACAACAGGGGCCCACCTGCACAGCTGCACAGGCTCACAGAATTCGGTATAAGGGAGGGACAGGCTTCCCTTGACCAGGGTGCAGACTGCACCTATAGGCCATCACAGTCCAGGGAAGCACAGCTTCCAGTTTAGAGACTGTGGTCCATCCTGACCCTGGCATCCTCAAAGTGCTATATTTCGGGTTTCAGGTATGTGGGGGGGTAGCCACTTCCTTCTGGGGGCCAGGTGTGGGCTGGAGGATCTACCAAGCAAGATGCTTTGTGGTCTCCTGTTGCAGGTGTCTGAAGCTGCATTTAGGGTAGAGCGTGACATCTCAATGCCCCCTGCCCTAACCTGCTCTTTCCTAGTGGTCCGTGGACAGCAGCTAAAGGCCATCTCTTTCCAAAATCTCTTTGCTATGCCCATATCTCCTAAGCCCAGGGAGGCCTTCCCTGACCTTTCAGAGGAGATGGGCCCTTCCAACTACGCCTGGTCCCTGGCCATCCCCTTCTTAGCACTCAGGACTCTCAGCTTGCTCAGCCTCTGTTTCCCTGCTGGACCAGAAGTAGTTTGGCAGGGATGGGGTTCTACTGGGGGCATAGCACATCAGGGGTGCTACGGATGTGTTTGTGGAATGAATGAATGAACGATCAAACGAACAATGCCCTGGTCAGACCAGCCCTCTCACCTGCCTGCCATCCTCATCACTCCCATGCCAACTCCTGTTACCAATCCAGAATATACCCGTCTGTTGGTTCCCAGCTCCCTGGCCACATTCCTTAGGATTTATTTTTTCCTGGCATCATCCTCACCAGCCCACAGACACAGCCAGCCATTGCTTCCCCCCCCCCCCCGCCCCTGGCTCTAGTAAAGTGGACTCTCCCTAGGTTGCATAATTTACTACTGGATTATGGCTGCACCTGTAATGCTCACCAACGTGTGAGCAGGGTATTTTGGAGCTCCCAGTAATCAAGGTGCCTGAGTCTCTGGAACCTGGTCTCAGCCTCCAGTGTGTCTCCCAGGACATTGTGCCCAGGGCTGAGTGCAGAGAAGGCGCTTGGAGCTAACTTGTTGATTGAAGTGAGGACGCGATTGTGGCCACGCAGCCAGAGAAACTCAGAGTAGGGCCTGCAGTCACTTTGGCCAAATCCTCCACACTGTGGGCCGCTTCCTCCTTGGCAAATGGGCTGGTGATGCAGTAGTGTCTGCATTGGCTGAGGGTTTTAAGGACTGGAGGTCGCCTGCTCCTGTAGAACACCCAGCAAGGCGTTCACTCACAGTGGTTATGACTCAGTAGTCCCTATGGGGCTGTGAGGCCACTCCCGCCAATGCCCCTGGAGTTCTCAGGGGGGCAGGTCTGAGCCCCACCACTTGGGTCATGACTCGGCTCGGGGGAGCCAGACAAGGAAGTAAGTGAGGAGGCTTCGGACTCTCCCGGGCGCCCACAGAGTCATCTCCGGGGCACGCAGCCTGCGTCTGCTCCTCGTCCCCACCCTGGAAAGGAGCGCTCCCGTTGCCATGTCTCTAGCACCTCTTTTTCTGCTGCAGGCCACTTCCCTAATGCTCCAAGCCTGACTTTTCCAGGCTTCTAATCGGTTTCCATGCCTTGATCCGGGCCCTGCTTGTCGCTTTACAGTGTGGAACCCTGGCTTAACTCAGTACTTCCTGGGCCGGCCAGGGCCCTGGAGCCCCGTGGCCCATGCAGCCTCCTCGCCCTGGGGACCCAGACGTCCCCGCTCCCAGCCTTGGCTCTGCTGGCCGGGGGGGCTCCGTCCAGACCCCGGCCCACGCTGCCTCGCTCCTCCTCTTTATCTGCGGCTCCCAGCATGGATGCCTCTCTCTATCAGCGTATCGGGCCGGCGTGCCTCATCTAAAGTGTATATATTACCTAATAAAATCCTTCTTATTTGGGATTATTGCATCAAATTTTAATTTCCTCACTCGAGCAGCGGCATGTCGGCCTGCCCGTCAGTGAAGGACCGATAGGAGGTGAAAAGAGCGGATAAACTGCACAAATTACTGCCAGCTGATGCCTATCAGCCCTTTGACTGGAATTGACTGGAATTAAGGACTGAGAAATAGGATTTTCTGCCTCAGAATCTGCTGTGGCAGCTCTTGTCGGAAGTCCCCTCCGGCCCCGACGGCCCCCTCCCCGCACAGGCGCCTCCCACTCCCTGAGCGAACTGCGGTCCACCTTTCAAGTCCTTAATCCTGTCATGGCAATGGGGAAGGCGGTCCCCGGGGAGAGAGCTGGGCTGGGATCCCTGAGACCCCGGCCCCATGGGCTCCAGCTCCAGCTCCAGCTCCCATCCTGGCCCGCTGTTCTGGAAGAGGCAGGCCGCAGAACGGGAGACACAAGCTCCTTCTAGAGAAGTCTCAGCTCCTCTCAGATCTGCCTGGACTTTCCCACCGGTACCCAAACCTCAGAGGGGGGCTGCCTCGCACACCTCATCCACCTCTCTCGGCGGCGCACCAACTGGGCGCGGAGCCTTGGGCCTGTCCCTTCTGCCGCGGAGCAGTGGAGGCCCCCAGACCCACCCCAACCCAGGCCTCCATTCCTCAGTCACCCTTGCCCCAGCCACTCACCACACCTTGAGACTTTAAGCCAATTCTGGAACCCTCTGAGCCTGTTGCCTCCCATACCCCATGGTGTTGAGGCTTGTGAGGAAAATGCAAGAGTACCCATGTTGGATGCCAAACACAGTGCTTGGCACAGAGTAGGTGCTTGACCAGTGCTGGCTCTTCCCCAGGCTGTTAGCCGTTCTCTCCCTATAAGACCCAGAAGATGCCTTAGCTCCAGGGTACGGATTCTGAATCTGGGGTGCTAGGGAGTCTGAATGGGCCGTAACTGTGTGGCACACCACAAGCATGTGTTGTCTGGGAAGAGGCACCACGGCTTTCATCAGATGCTCACAGGGGTCCCGGTGACCGGTGACAGTCACTTTTATAGCATTTGCTGTGTACCAGGTATGGTGCTAAGCCCTGTGCACCTACCAGTTGCTGAGGGGTGGAGGCTGTTATTTTACCCATTTTATAGACGGGGAGAACAAGGCAGTGAGAGGTCAAGTAGCTCACTCGGAAGATTTGAGCCCAGGTAGCCTAGCAACAGAGTCCAACTCCCAACCCCTTCAGCATACTGCTCTTCCTGCCACAAGCAGCAGGGCCTCTGGAGGCGTGTGTACCTTTAGCCTCTCAGGGGAGCCTCATTTCTGTACAACGTGGGTTCCTGTGATGGGAGGAGCCCGTGGCAGGGTGGACCCTTCTCTGAGCCTCCTGGGCCTGCCCACCTGGGAAGCCATGTGCTGGTGCGTCCCCCTCATCCCCGCCCCCGTCTGGAGAGCCAGCCAGTAAGGGGCCTGGCTCTGGGCCCAGCAGGGGCCACGTTTCTCCATCCTCTCGTCTTTGGAAATAAGTTTCAGTATATTGAAAATATAATTACTGAGACTCTGAAACAAGAGCCGTGGGATCCCAAGAGCCCCCATTCCTCCCCGTTAATTCCTTCTTATAACATTTCCAGTCTTTGTGGCTGCACTTGTATTAAAAGCTCAGGGTTTTATTAAAAATGGATTTATTTACCCAAAAAGAGATAAAACCCCAAACTTTGTCAGAAGCCTTTTGGCTTTCACTTCCCAGCAGGTCAGGTGTGGCTCTTCCTGGGGAGAGCCGGGCCCTTAAGTCCTCTGTCACCCAATTACCCACTGGCCCCCCTTTGAGCCCCACTTGCCCATGAGCCTCCCGGCAGCCCAGGGTGGGAGTGTGTATGGGGAGATGCTCACAGGGCTCTGAGGCCTGAGGGTTCTTCGGCCATGAGGCCCTACCTTTGCACAAGCCACCACTGACCGCTGTTCTGGTCCTCCCAAGGTGTCCTTGTCTGTAGGCCCACCCGGCTCAGCCCAGCCACTCCTGGGTTGTGTGCCTGGGAGCATGCAGGTGCCCCTTGAGGTTGACTGTGTAGTGACTTTCTGGAAAGGTGCTCTAGAGACTCGGGGCCCAGTTAACCTGGCAGTCTAGGCTCTGCCCTCAGCAGACCAGGGGCTGCCCGGAGACCCTGATACTGGGACACATTTGGGGCCCAAGACAGATAGGGCTCTAAAAGAGGGAGTTGTCCCCGTGTCTGGAAAGCCCATCCTGGCACCTGAGCCTCACACCAGAGTCCCACACTGTGGGGACCTACTCCTGGAGACAAACCCAGGCCTCTCCTATGTGAGGAGTGGGCCCCCCAAAAAGAGCCCTCCATGGGGTGACATTGGGGGAAGTGGTTCCTGCAGACACTGAAATGCTTCCCAAATGACTCCCCACAGACGCCTGGGTCTGGGGCCATTAGCAGATATTACAGGGAAAGAGTCTGTCTTCAGATCAGAAAGCCTGTGAGAACAAAGGTTAACAGGGTTGCTGGGGCTTGGTTTGGCTTTTTTAAAAAAACCACTTTACTACATCGAGGAGCCTTTACTATACACTGAAGCCCAGAGGAATAGTGGGATATGCAAGTTGCCCCAAATCTGACATGAGCTAATGCTTGCGAAGTGCTTAGATTAGTGCCTGCCACATAGCACGGACATTCCTAAATGGCAGTTATCGTTATTAAAGCAGAAACCTGGTGGGGAGGCGGCATCGCTGGGCGGGCAAGAGCATTTTGGAACCAAAGTATCTGACTTTGAGCCCTTGCTTCACCTTCCCTTCCTTGCAGTGGGACCTTTGCAAGGCCACTTAACTTGAGCAAGTTCCTCGGTTTCCTCCTCTGGAAGACGAGGCTTGTGGGGTAGGCGTGAGGGTGAAGTGAGTTAGTCCATAGAAGGCGTTTGCAGCGGCACTGGGTGCAGAGTGGGTGCTGGCGAGAGAACAGGGCCCGTGCCGCTGGTGCCTTCTGGTCTCTGGCACAGTTCACGTCCTCAGAACCCGCGTGGGGAGCGGCTCATTTAATGGTGTCTTTTTCCGATTTCATAACAATCTTTCCCCCCTCCCCCCCGTGGGGTGTACTCCTGTCTCCTGGGGGAAGGGGTCCCCCAAGGAGGGCGCCAGACCGGCTTTCTGCTCGGCCTTGGCCTCAGGGCTGTGTCCATGTTTCTGCGGGAACCATTTCTTTGGAACATTCTCTCACCTTCCCTCAGCTCGGGCTGGAAGTGTTCCAGATTGCTGCACACCTGGGCCCTGGGGAGGATAGTGGATAGCCACACAAGGACAGCACTGCTCTGGGGGTGGGGGGGTGGAGACGCCCCTTGTGGGTGTTGCGTCTCCAGGAGGAGGTGCTTGGGTAGGGGTGCAGGGTGCAGACTTCAGCTGATGGACAGCAGGTGGGTGAGAGGCAGCAGATCCAGGCCACAGGAGCTCATCACTAGACATGTAAATACCAGGGTGGGTATTTCCCTGGGGGATGGGGACGGGGCTGTAACCAGGGAAAAGTGCAGCCAGGGCCAGAGCCTCAGGCAGGCAGGGCGGACAGGGGCGGTGGCTGGCTGACCGTGTGATAGGGCCTGGAGAGCAAGGCGGAGGTTGCCATGGGCAAAGGGAGGCTGTGCAAGTGGTGGTGATGGTGATGTGAGACTCTTTAGTACGTCCCTTTCTTCCTCAGCCAACCAATCCATCAAGTGATATTTGAATGTGCCCATTATAGGCCAGGATCCCTTCCTGGAGAACCTTAGGCCTCCACCTCCGTGCCTGTACTGTACCTTTGCCTCCGTATCATTTTCTCCCCCTGGCAAGCTCCCACTCATTCTTCATGACTCGTCCTAAATGTTGCTGTCTGTACAACCCTTTGTCAGCTCTTCCAGATGGACTTCTGCACTTTGGGGTACCTTTCTGCATCTAAGCACCCTTCGATGCATAGAGCAGTGTCTGTGAGCCCTCCCCACAGGCTGTGTACTCCCTAAGAGCAGGGACCCCTGAATCCCCATCCTGGTAGTCCCAGATCCCGATTCCTTCCCCCACCCTTGTGCACCCCCTTCCCCCAGTGCTGCAGGGAGAAGGAACAGGGTGTGGGACAGAGCCATTTGAGGCAGGAGCTGCTGGTTGCAGTGCTGGATAGGGTATGGGTCATAGGGCCATGGTGGCCTCCGGGTCATTCCTGGAGATACTCATTTTCAGGATTTATGATACTTTTGTTAGTAGAGTAACTGATCCATGATGTTCTCCTTTACTCAAGTCCTAGTGAAAGCAAGGTCCCAGGGTTTTTGCTGTTATTCATATTTAGGTGGGGCAAACCGAGACCAGCAATTTGATGGGCGGTTGGGATAGAGATCAGATCTCTTGTCCCCTGGCTTGTTTTTCCTCTTTCCTGGGTGGTTACAGCAGATGAGGGGACATGGGGAGGGGAAGGGGAAACGAGAGCATTAGCAGGATTAGGCCTCTCCATGGGACTCCAAGGTGTTTGCCAAGGCCTTGGGGTTATGTCCCCAGATTGATGGGGACAGCTGAGACCTGAGCCCTCAGCAGCTTCCTAGGCTGGCCTTGTAGCAGGGAGTTCACTACCTGGGGAGGGAAGCTGCAGGTGCCAGGGCAGCTACAAAGAAAGATGGACACCCCGGGGGTGGCCGAGCAGCCAAATCAGGTCCCTCCTCTCTCCTACCCAGGGCACAACCGTGCGAGTTATCACCGCCATCGACCAGGATAAAGGACGTCCCCGGGGAATTGGCTACACCATCGTCTCAGGTAAGGCCTCAGTGCTCCCGGCACCCCACCCCCACTGTAGGAGCACCAGGCTCTGCAGGGCTGTGCAGAGGCCTGGGTGTGTGGACAGTGGTGTGAGGGGACAACCCTGGGCAGAGGACCTAGGAAGGTGACTGAGTGGATGAAGGAGGGAGGAGGAAGAGAGGAGCTGGAGACTGAGGCTAAGATGTTGGGGGCCACTTGGGTGGTGTTGGGAGATGGGAGTATGCGCCACTGTCCAAGGTCCAAGACATCTGAGCACTTTGGGGTTCTGAGCCTGGGTCACTGAGGGCTCCCATCTCGCCTCCTTAATGTGCTGTAGATGTCTCTTTGTTTTTCTTTCCTGACTTGATGAAAAGGTGGCAGTTTGTACATCATTTTAAAATGAATAGAACTGCAACTTTAGCCAATTTCATGCTCTTCACATTTCTGACCACTAGGAGTTCATATCTCGTTGAAAATGTTGCAGAGGAGGCACAGAGCCCCTCCTCTCGCACCCCTTCTCTTGGTTAAGCAGAATAGTGACCGGCTGCAGAGAAGGTTCCAGGTGGTAGGATCCCTGACCCCATGTCCCCACTTAAGGACAGACCAAGGAGCTCTGCTTGGCTGTCCCAGGGCTGGGTGGCTTTGGAGAGAGGGAATTGGTGAGAGGCCCATGAGGGGCTGCTCACTCACGCACAGACTCTGGCTCTGTCCCTATGCTCCCCCCACCCCCCACCCCACCCCACATGTGGCCTTCCCCACTGCCCACTACTCAGTGATGGGTCAGCCTCATGCCTCTGGGTATACCAGACTGATGGCCGGGAGGATGGCAGGCCACCAGGCCGGTATCTACCCTATTGCCTCTCCCAATCACACCCCCATAACAGTGTGTGACATTTGGGGGACATTCTTTCCCTAAAGCTCAAAAGATACCAAGGTGTAATGATCAAGAACATAGAAGATGGAGTCTCATGAGCATATTGCCTTGGGTGGGTCTCTATACCTCAGTTTCTCATTCATAAAATGGGAGCAGTAGGAGTACCTATCTTGGGTGGTTAAGTGTCAGAAGACTTAATATATATAAAGAACCTAATTAAGGTTGTAAATACCTTTATACGTGTTAGTTGCTGTTATTACTATTATTATTATTATTATTATTATTATTATTATTATTATTATTACTGGCAGGTAATAATAACCTTGAGAAGGTGGGAGTTAGCTGGTAGGAGGAAGAGCCCCACACACACATCCTTGGGAATGCAGGAAATCAGGGGTTTGGTGGGACCTGCAGCTGCTGGCTTGACTATTATTGTGTCTGTAAGGCTGGGGTACCCCAGGCCCCAAAGCAATGCCAAACTAGCTCATGTGGTCAGCAGCAGTAGCATGGGTCCAGGCCTCTCCTCCCCCATCGCATTTCCTCCCCATTCTGGTGCCCAGTACAGGACTCAGCAGTGTAAGCCCCATATGTACTTGTGGAATGAAGGAAGGAAGAAGAGAAGGAATGTGACCCTAGGGTCTTGGGTTTTCAAATTCCATCATGCCCAAGAATCACCTGCGGCTTCTACCAAAAATGCAGAGTCCTTGGCACCCACGGGGATTCTCCTTCTGTGGAACTGGGGTTGGCCCCAGGAATGGTCCTTTCTCACAGTGCCCGGGATATGGATAGTCCTTAGGCTAGGGTGTGGCAAAGCTAGTCCTAGGAAGGAAGGAAGGAAGGAAGGAAGGAAGGAAGGAAGGAAGGAAGGAAGGAAGGAAGGAAGGCATTCTGCAGGAAGGCAGAGTCCCCCTGGGAATCAAGGGGCCCTTTCTTGCTGAGCAGAGGAGGAGGGAGGCCCATACTGGTGCTGATCTCCTTCATGAGTTTTTTAGTTTGGGAAGCAAAGGGAGTGCCTCCCAAGGATAAGGGGCTTGTGCTAGAGACCTAAGGGAACACCAGTGAGTGCCAAGAGTGATAGAGTTGAGGGGCCAGGATAAGGTGGCAGCATAAGGGGACACTGGCTGGGTGAGGGATTGTCTCCTTGTCTCATTGCCTGTGGGCTGGTTTCAGACCTACCCCAGCCTAGATGAAGGTGGGGAGCAAGGAGCCAGGAGCTAGCCTGAGGTCATGGCCAGACTGGAAATTCCTGTCTGATGCTGAGAGGCCATCCTCCAGGGCATTGGTCCATTCTAAGTTCCAGGCCACCAGCCTTGGACCCGTAGGCCCTCTCCAGCCCTCAAAGATGGCCTCAGCCAGCTCTCCCTCCTCACTTGCTCCGCAGGGAGCAGGAGGCTGAAGGGCAGAGCTGCTTAGCCTTTGCTGTCTGGGCTGGGCTCTGAACCCTGGAGTCTGGGGACAATTGTCTGTGGCAGCATATTATGAGATGTCCAGGAGCATACTCTCCTGGGCCAAGACCTCAAGTGTGAACAACAGGATGAGAAGTAAGACCCAGGATATGAAACTACAGGTAGGCAATGTTTGTGAAGGTGGGGCCAGGAGGCAGAAACTTCCAGAAGGCTTAGCATAACTTTGTAGGATTCCCCCTACCAGCAAAGATGTGCTTTGAGGGCTTTCGGAAAGGATGACATATGGGTTTCCTCTCACACGCCAACTGATTGATTGATGATGGCTACTTGAAGAGAACCATGAAGCCAAGCAGGCTCAGTGTGGTATTCAGTTGGTAGAGTCTGCTATGGGTACAGAAAGAGAGAGGACAGACAGCCCCCATGGCAAACATTTGCCATTCTTGCTAAGACCTCACTTACAGGGTGGCCATGATGGTTCTTTAACTCTCTCATGGGTGTTTGTCACCACACAGCCCACAATCCCACCCAAATTCTTTTTAGGCAGCTTGAGAAAAGGGCCATCCTTCTCTCCCCATCCTGAGTACCTGGCTCACCTGGCTGCCTGCCCACCTGTTCCTGCCCGCCCTTCTCCCTGGCCCCGGGCTGGCGTTGTCTCCCTACAATCCAGCCTCAGGGTGAGTCTAAAGCAGGCAGACAGGCAGAAGGGTGAAGACCTCAGGGGAGCTGTAGCCAGAAAGCTAGGATATGGCCTCATCTCTACTTCTCCCAACCAGCGTAGATACTGCTGCAGAGCACATTGGCTGCCAAGGATCTGGCCCCACACACTTGCCTTTCCGGTGATGTTAAGTCTCAGCCCTTTCCTGGGAGGCTCAGCCAGTGTCTGTTTGGCTTGAAGCAGGAGGATGGAGTGCCCACAAGAGCACCCTCACACCGCTGACTGCCCCAAGCTGGCCCTGAGTACCCCCATGGAAGCCTGCTTTGGCCCTAGATGCTAGGGAACCATTTTCATTTAAAAGAAAAAAATGAGAGTCTCAGGGGCTCCTGGAGCCAGGTGTGAGTCCTGACAACCACTATGGGTGACTGAGTCTCTGGGCACCTCCAGAGCCTGGGCAGGGGGTGGCTCTGTCCACACATGGGTAGACACAGGTCTGAGCCCATGAGTGATCCATGGCACACGGTTAACCTGCTTGGCTCCTTTAGACCCCCATCCCCTCCAGGCTGTTTATCAGCCCTGCAGCTGGGGGGATTTATGTCTGCACACCAGCGTTTTCACCATTACTAATGACCCCACTGTTTTGCCAAGAACAAAGAGGCCTTCAGAGGTGAGTTATGGCTCCATTGCCATCAATTTGTTCTCAGCCTCTTGTGGCCAAACTGAGACTGAAGGATGACAAGGTTCTTTCCCACAGAGGACCTGGCACGGGCCCCATCTGCCTCCTCAGCCTGTGCCTGCCCCGTCACTCACCAAGGGCATCACTTCCTCCAGGGTCCAAACAAAATGGGGCTCCCGTCCCCAATGGCCAGCCCAGCCTGGGGTCTGAACAGATACCCTCCTTTGCCAGATGGAGACAGTCCTGCTTCAGGGGGCAGCTGTGCCCCACCCCACACAGAGCACTGAACTTGCAACTCAAAGTTGTAGGTTCAAGGCCCAGCTCGGGCACCCGCAGCAGTATGCCAGAGAAAGGCGTTTGACCCCTCTTCACCCCATAATAATCGTCATCTTGTGGTACAGGGTTAATAATCTCTATGGCAGATAAAATGGTGCCAGAGAGACTCTAAAGGGTCATAAAGTATTAAACAATACTAATTATCAAGGAAAGATCAGGCCCAGGGGTCCTGGGGACTTCTATTCGCTCATTTCCTCTTTTATCCATTTAAGCAGAGAAGTGGTTCAGAGTGTGGGCTCTGGCGCCGCTGTCCACGGTGCTGACCCCTGACTGGACTGGCCAGTATGGTTGCCCTGTGGCTAGGCCACTGAGCACTTGACGTGTGCTAGAGTGTAAGGTGACCTACAGGATTTGGGAGACTTAGTATGCAAAATGGTTTATAAAACATCCCATTAATAATGTTTTCTCCTGATGATGTGTTAAAGTGATCTTTTAGATACACTGATTGAGATACGACATTTTATTAAAATTAATTTCATCTATTGTTTAATGTGGCTACTAGAGAAGTTAAAATATCACATGTGGCTCACATCCTATTTCTTTTTTTTATTTTATTTAAATTCAATTTGCCTACATATAGTATAACACCTAATGCTCATCTCATCGTGTATCACATCCTATTTCTGTGGGCAGCTCTGTTCCAGAGTTAGACTGCCTCGCTGGCGTGCTCTCCTGACCAGCTGTGTAACCTTCGAACTGTCAGTTTTCCAGTCTATGAAATGAAGGGAAGAGTAGCCTGAGCTTCCCCAGGGAGGCTATGCACCCACAGGAGCTAAGATATGTAAGCACAGAGAGGGGCACTTGATTTTAATGCTCAATGAATGTGGACTCTTGGCATCCACCTATAGTGGATGGAGGGTCTTCTGTGGGCCAAGAGCTGCACTAATGTCCTGAGAGTGTGTGGGGCCAGAGGCACCATCTCGGCCTCAGAAACCTATAGTGTAGGTGGGGAGGCAGACTGAGAAGCAGGGGCTGTGTAGACAAGGAGTCATGGCTCCCTAGGGGGCCCATTAGATGGTTCTCTATACTTCTCTGTGTGTTTAAAAATATCTGTAATGGGAAGTGAGAAAG